GGGGGGGGGAGGATGTTAGAGGGGCAAGGGTTCTAGCAAGGGAGATTCCTTAAATCTGCTGCCGAGGCTCCTTTCAAAGGAGCGGGCCCTGGGGTTTTGGTAGTTCATTCAGATCTGGCCTCAAAACTCAGGGGGAGGTGCTGAGAAACACAGGGTGCCCGTAGCCTCGATTCAAAATAGAAGCTTCTTAAACTTCTCTGCCTTTAAATCCTTAGGAATCCCCATTCACTGTGAGCCCCTGGGGATCTGAGCCGCTAAGGTCAGGGCTTTCCCCAGCTCCGGTTTTGTTCTCTCCCTGCCTGAGCTGAGCTGCCTGGGCCTCCTCCCCCTCCAAGCTGCCCCGGTGAACTGTTTCCCTGGGGCATGAGAGCTCTTCTGTCCCCCTTCCGGCCGGCCAGGGAGGCCTTGCGCCCTCGTGGATTGCTTCCCTCACCTGAGGATTTGGGGAGGTGAGGGTTTATCTCAGCCCCCCCCCCTCCAGAGTTAGGGTGAGGATTTTGGGGTCTGCATGAGACTAAGCCCCAGATGGAAAACTAGGCTGTGACTTTTCTTTGGGCCTCTCCGTGTCCCCTTGCACAGCCTTTGCCCGGGGCGGGGGGGGGAAGCATCCCTCTCGGTTACCCAGTTGGAGCAAGTATTGTGATGGCTGCCACAGAATTTCACTATTAAGACAACAAAGCTCTGCCCAGTTCCCCAGTTATTTTGGCACCAAATACACAGTTTCCAGGGAAACCGACTTTTCCCCCCCCTCCCCTTCACCATACAGGATATTACAATAAGATCTTCCCTGATGCTCAGCTACAATGAGATCCCTCCTCCCAGCCTCCTCTCTGGGCCTTCAGATCCTCCCAGGTGGCATTCTTCAATTTTGCAGTCCCTTTACTCTCTGAGCTCAGCTTGGGATGCGTTTCTCTCTGTCCCTCTTTCTCAACTATCAACCAGCCGGGGCTCCCTTCTGTGTGGGGCTCTTTCACGAGTCTCCCTCCCCAACCCTCGCCAGCCTTGGGCCGTTCATTGACAAGTTCTGACCCGTGGGGCATGCCGGGAATGACTGAGTAGGCAGGGGAGCTGATAGTTGGCATGGCTTCTCTTGGGCTTTGCCTAATCCATTTGCCTGTCATTTTCCAGGGAGCTTTTTGCCCTCGAGCTGGAGCCTGCATCTCCTGTAACCCCTGCCCCTTCCTCCTTTCAGTTTTCTTCCCCTAACCAACCGATCGTGGTTCGTTTGCGCCTTCATGACTTCACCGGCTTGTTTTAATTCCAATATCCAAACAGATTTCAACTATGAGTACGTGCAGAGAGAAGCTCTCAGGGTTCCCCTGATCTTTCGAGAAAAAGATGGACTGGGAATTAAGTAAGTTGCTGAAACTGATGGCTTTCCCCCCGTCTCCCTCCCTGACACGGTTTATAGTGTGGGATGGATTTCTTATAGCCACTGCCCCACCTCTCATCACTGGGAAGGCCCTTTCTTCATCATCTGGGCGCTGTAGTGTCTTCTTGTTCAAAACATGACAAAGGGAAAAAAACTCACCCAAGATTGGTCTTTTTCAGAGAATCTGGGCAAAGAGGATATTAAACAGTGCTGAACCCCCCCCCCCATCCATCCCAGTTAACCTGCGGTGACTTCCTAAAGAGACAGCGTCCCCCCAAATTAGGAAACTGATGCAGGGCCTGGGCCTGGAAGGGATTGGCCAGCCTCTAGGTCCCGAGGCAGGGCACCTGGATACACATTTCTACTCAGACTCAGACTGTGTGGGATTGTCTTTTTCTGTGGAGGGTGTGTTTCCTAGGATGCTAGGCCCCTGTCTCCCCTCTCCGAGCCTGCCCCAGCACCTGCCTCCTCACTGGGTCTTGTTTGGTTTATTTCTCTTAGAGACCTCAGAGCTCCAGGTGGGCAGACATCTGGGAGGCAGGCTGGAAGAACAGGTTTCTGCCCCTTGGGCAGGGGTGGGAGAAGGCTGAGGGCGTCCTCGCAGCCTGCTGCCCTCTGCAGCATCTGTGGCTGCCAGACTTGCTCAAGAGTCTCATTCCTATGGGTAGAAATGAAACCCGCGGCATCATTGTTAATTAATCGTGAATGTCACCATAATCGTTAGAGCCACGTTACCATCTCCCTGGAGTTGGTATGGTGATGAGTGTGGCTGTTTTTCCCCTCTCTCGACTTAGGAGGGTCCCTCCCACCTTCCATTAAACTCATTAAGCAGAGTATTTTCTGGAGGGAGATACACAGAGAGGGGTGAGGGGTGCTCATCCTAAAAGGAACAGGTGTTTGAATGCCCAGCTGCGGCTCTTCCCCTCCACACCACACTCAGTCTTCCCTGGAAAAGTGGGGGGACCGTGGATGTCCCCTCTCCTTTCTGTAGCATTGAGTTCAGGTGTAGGGAGAGAGTGCGAGTTTGGTTCTCCCACTGGGTTGAGGAAAGGGCTCAGCAGTGACCCTCCCTTGAGGCACCAGCTGGTCAATCAGCATCCTTCTGGGTTATCTCAGTTTGGGTTCTCAAACTGAGAGCACGAGAACCCTCTTGGAAAAATGCTCCCCTGGCCCCCGGAGTTGGGTCTGACTCTTACGGTTTCTGGCTTCTCACCAAAGTCTGCTTGTTTTCCAGGATGCCTGACCCTGACTTCACAGTCCGAGATGTCAAACTCCTCGTGGGTAAGTTGCTTGCTGTGTGTGGCACAGAGATGCCAAAATGGGGGGGGATGGAAGGAGGCCTGGCCACCTGCCTGCTTAGGTTGTAACTGCCTCTGACAACAAAGTCCCCTTGGGAGGAGGCAGGAGCAGGTGTGCACCGCAGCTGTGTCACTGTGGGGAACGGGTCAGGTTGCAGAGTCCTAGGAAGCTGGATCAGGGGGTGTTTGCCGGTGTGCAGTGTGACGCCGCCGATTTGGACCCCAGCCCCCGGCTTGGGTGTCAGCGACGCGATCTTAGGTCTCTCCTTTGCGTTTGCTTGCGAGTTGCAGGGTGAACACTGCGTGCTCTGTGACCCCTGGAAGACTCCCCGACTTTGGAGGGGAGGATCTCTCGTTCTTTCCTGCTTTCTCGGGGCTCCAGGCAGGTCTGGGGCGGGGCTGGCCGCTGAGTGCCCAGCAAATGCTGCTTAATGCCCCGAGCACCTGCAGAGCGGCTGCTCCCTCAGAGCCCCGGGCTCCCCACCAGGTAGCAGGCCCAATTTCAGATTTCACGGGAAGTCGTTCGAGAGACCCATTCTTTCCATACGTGTTTCTCAAGTAGCTGCTACATGGCAGGCGAGTTCAGAGCTGTGACCGTGACAGACGAGATCGCTGCCCTCTTGGTTTGGGTGACAGGCAACAAAGAAGCCAACAGTTTTTTAAAACACATATATTTTTGAAGGGTGATAAAGGCTATGACGAAGTAAAGCCGGGTAATGGGATGGAGTGTGGTGGTGTTTTATTTATTTATTTTTACTTCTTGTATTTTTTTCATTTTAGAGAGAGGAAGGGAGGGAGAGAGGCATCGATTTGTTGTTCCACTTATTTATGCATTTATTGGTTGAGTCTTGTATGTGCCCTGGCCTGGGATTGAACCCACAACCTTGGTGTATCGGATGGACACTAATTGAGCTGCCCAGCTGGGGCCTATGTGACGGTTTTTTAGATCGGGGTGCTCGAGGAGGGCCTGGGGGGGTGGCATGAGGGCGTTTGGACAGATACCTGACTGAAGAGAAGCAGCTGTGGGCAAGAACATTCTGGATGATGGGATGAGCAAAGGCAAAGGTCAGGAGGTCGGGGAGGAACAATGAAGGAGGGGGAAGGGAGCAGGAGCAGGGAGCGATAACAGGGCCAGGTTCCTGTAGGGGTTACAGGCCCCCATTCATATACCCTAAAATTCACCATTTAGCCATTTCGGGGGGTACAGTCCAGTGGGTGTTAGCACGTTCGCGATGCTGTGCGACCGTCACTGAAACCTTACTCCAGAACATTTCCGTCGCCCCCCCAATACTCCCTGGACCTCGCACTTCCCCTGTGCCTCTGTGCCCTGCCAGCCGCTGCTCTGCTTTTTGCCTCTACTGGTTCGTCTGTTCTGGACGTTTCCTGTGAGTGGGTCGCATGGCATGTTCTCGGTTATGTCTGGCTTCTCGCGCTGGGCCTCACGCGGGCCTGGGGCACCCTCGTGTCTCCTGTGGGCCTTCGTTCCTTTTCAGGGCCGGATAGTATTCCGTTGTGTGGACGGTCCACGCGGTCATCCACTCTGCAGCCCACGGACTTTTCGGTGGCTTCCAGCGCTGAGCTATTACGAGTGATGCTGTGAATGTTCGCGGGCAGGCCTCCTGTGCTGGGCGTGCTGGGCCTGCTGGGCCTGCGTGTTTGTTCCCCTGGGGTGTGTACCTAGGAATGGAATTGCTGGGTCATTCAGCAGCTATATTTAACCTCCTGGGAAGCTGCCAGGCCGCTCTAAACAGCTGCGCCATCTTAACATGCCCATTAGCGGCGGACCAGGGCTCCAGTTTCTCCGCATCGTCGCCAGCACTTGTCATTGTCTGTCTTCTTGATGAGAGCCATCCTAGCGGGTGTGAAGTGCTGTGATCCGACTGAAGTTTGGTAAAGGCCGACTCGGGCGGCCGCGTGAGGGGGAAGACAGCTGACCAGCGGGTGTGTCAGATAATCCAGCGTGAATAATTGACCCAAAAGTGTGTCAGCCGATACTCAGAAGGGAGGACGGGTCGGCTGCACAGAGGTGGCGCCGATGACCGAAGGATCTCAGGTCATTGGTGAGGGCGTGCTCCAGAGAGAAGTTTTTATAGGGGGGGATGAATGTTGGTGGAAAAAAATAAACAACAACAAAAAAGCGGGATTCCAGAAGCGCTGAAGGAAGTGAAGATCAGAGCGGAAGGGGGCAAACTTTCCAACGGTGGGCCCATGGGGCGATGGGCGCCCGAGATCAGCCTTGCCCCGGCTTTTGCTGTCAGATAACCTTGGTTTTGAGGCCCCGCTGTGCTAGCTGACAGGTGATTTGGGGCAAGCTGCTTAACCTCCCTAAGCCTCAATTCCCCCACCTGCAAAGTGGAGCTAATCGCAGAACCTGCCTCAAAGAAGGACCCAATATGAGAATGAATGAAAGCTTAGAATTATACTGGGTGATGGGCACTCGGTAAATGGTCCCCGTTATTATTTATTATAAATGCAGGACACGGGGCTGATGAGACTCTCTTTACAAGCAAGGATTAAAGCCAGATTCTCAAATCGGGCGTTCAGGCAACGTCAGTCACAGTCTTACTAACGCTGCTCATTGATCGGCTGCCTCCTGCACGTCCCCTACTGGAGACTGAGCCCCAAAACCCGGCACAGGCCCTGAGCAGGAATCGAACCTGGACTTCCCGGTTCATAGGTTGATACTCAACCACTGAGCCGCGCCAGCCGGGAAACCGCTCACAGGTGGACTGAGTGTCTGTTGTGTCTGGTTAAGGTGACTCCTGAGACCTGGGCTCTGCCCTTGACCGGCTGGCTGTGCTTAGGAAAAAGGCGAAATCCTCACTTCTTAGAAATCAAAGGCAGCTGACTTGTCCCCAGATTTTTTTTTAAGTTTAAACTCTGAAAGAGTTCTTAGAACTAGTCTAGTACTTCTTTCCCATTTCACAGGTGGGAAAAACTGAGGCCTGGAGAGCAGTGAGTTGCAGGCTGCCCAGACAGTAGGTGGCACATCAGATTCAAATGTAGGTTTACATTTCAGCGATTGGGAGAAGATGATGCTTGTAACAGGACCCCAGAGGAAAAGAAGACGTGGGGGGGGTGGTGCACGTCGCCCGTAGATGAGTTCACCTCTGGCCACTTTGAATTTGAGCTCAGGAGAGAATTCGAGGTTGGACAGACAGGTGGGGGAGGCATCCGATTGGCAGAGCAGATAGAAATGCAAGGAGGGAAAGGCGGGGGGAAGTCTGGAGAGCTGAGGCCGTGAGCCCCGAGGGAGGAGGGGTTCGGTTATGTTCTCAGGTGTTCTCTTTAAGATAAACGCCCACATCGCCGATTTGTTTCCTTTTTCCTAGAAAGCTGGTGCTCTAAAATCAGAATCCTGATCATGCTAAGGGCCATGGGGCGGAATACAGATCACTCCACTGTGGGGTGGCTCCTTAGAATATAGATAATATTAGCTATTGTTCACTGAGATCTTACTATGAGCCAGAAACCTTGCCTATATTATTTTGTCTGACCCACATAAAACCCTATATATCACTATTCCCATTTTATAGATGGCAAAACTGAGGCTCAGGGTGACTTGTCCACAGTCAAATAGCAAGTGTGTGGAAGAGCTGAGGTTCGTGCCCATTTCTATCCAACTGTAGAGCAGCAGCTGGCTCTCAGCATCTCCTAATCCAGAGTGTTTGCTGTAATTTCTTCGAGTGTCTTTTCAGAGCTTCTTGTCCGATTGGGCTCTGCCCCGAATTGTTCGCCTGGGTTTGTATCTCATGCCCTTCTGTCTATGAGGGTCAGAGTCTTGATCCCAGGGCACAGACGACAGCCTGGCACTGACCTGTCCTGGGGATCATTTTAAGAGGTGCAGAGTTGAGGAGCCAGAAGATACCAGTGCTTTGGGTAGGCACAAGCACCTTTGCAAGCATCCTCTAATTTCCCAATGAAGGAAACTGAGGCCTTGGCCTAGGAAGAGATTTGTCCCCTGTTCGGTTTGGGACAGAGTCTTTAACGGGTCCCTGCTTTTGTGTTTACAAAGTGCTCTCAGTAATTGTGTCAGGTCACTAGGGCAGGTCTTCTTATCCCCACTTTCCAGATGAGGAAACTGAGGCCCAGCGAGGTTCAGGGAGATACCCCTGGCCTCAGAGTGGGATTTGACCCGTGGCCTGTGCTCTTGCGCCTGTGAGGTGGATGAGAGAAGACTCCCAAGGAGAGAATTAAAAACACACAACCGGTTCAGAAACTTGAAGATGATAGAGAAGGTTCCGGAATGACGATGCTGGCCAGTAGTGTGCACTCTCTGAAAAGCGGGCTTGGGGGAGGGGCTTGGGGTCAGGGCCCATGTATGCTTCATATTAGTGTTCAAGGTCACCTTGGGCAGCCTCTCCTCGGCTCCCAGCCCCTGACTCTCAGAGCTGACGGATGGAGCCTTCAAAGCAGGGGCCATGGGGCCACGGATTAATTTCTGCAGCTGGAATTTGTTGGATGGGTGTGTAGCCTGTGAGCCCAGAGAACCAATGAGACTGGGAGGGAGGGGAAGGGGGAGGAGAGAGAGAGACAGGGGCGCTGAGCTGCTGGCCTACTTAGGCCCCGCAGCTCCCTAGTGGAAAATTTCTCCTGTAACCCACTGTCTTTGGGGGCCGGAGAGGTCCAGCACCGTGGGTCCCTCGCAGGCTCCAAAGGGCAGCTTGCCCCTGTCACCTGCTCCAGGGGTGGTGGCTCCCCAAAGCTTGGAGGGCCACATTCCATCTTAGCACTGATCTGTCCCTTCTGTCCCTACGGGCATTTGCTGGGCTTCCTGCTCAGAGACGGGGCACTTGTACCCAGCTCTCCTTTGCCACCCGTGGCAGAGCTGACTGGGAACCTGAGAAGCCGGAACGCCGATTCTTAATCCCCCAGCTCAGACCGAAAGAGACTGGCAGGCCCCAGGTGTCCCCAGTGACCCCTCTGGGTCTCTTCTGCCTCCTACCCCTGCCCCCATTTCGCACGTAAGGGATTTGATCTGAGGCTTTAGGAACTAGGCTAAAAGTCAGCGCGGGGGCTGGGAGAGGACCGGCAAATGACCCAACCCGGCGGCTTTCAAAGGGAAATCCTCAGAATCGGGGTGTGCGTTCTGAGCACCCGCCTCCTACCCACTTCAGCCCTTGTTTTTTTGATGCATTTGGCTGTCCTCAGAGCTTCTGTTTGAAGAGTTTTGTGGCAACCAAAAAAAAAACAGTATAAAAGGTCAACTACTTCCTGTCTTCACACACTAGGCCGGGGACACCTAGAGCCGGGTCGGTCGGGGTGGCTGGGACTGGGTCTCGGTGCAGGGCTCTTGGCACCGTCCCAGGTGCCCTTGACGCCCCCACCGCTCATTCCGTGGGCCCCCCATGGGCTGTCGCTAACCCAGGAACAGGTTAGGCACCTGTGCCTCCCACATGGTTCTCCAAGTAAGAATAAAAGAGCTGGGGTAGGGCTGAGGCTTCAGGGTTAAAATCAGGGAGCCGGAGGAGTCCACATACAGGGACTCCCTTTCCCTTTCTCTCTGATGGGGACACCCCCTCGCTTGGTGTCCAGAGCCTCATGGCTCTTTCCACCGCCCCAGACCTGCTCAGAGGCTAGTGGCTGAGTGCGCTGCAGACCTTACCATGTGCCAGACATCATGTTAGATTCTCTTGTACTAATGGCAGCCAGGAAGGGGTGAGTGCCCTGAGCCACGGAGCTAGTAACAGAGCTTGGGATTTATAAAAATGCTTTTTATTGGAGAGAATTTTAAAAAGTAACAAGAGTATACAGTATACTGAACTCCCATGGACCCATCGCCCATCTCAACACCCATCGTCTGTGGTCCTTCCCCTTTTATTCC